TGCAAGCTGGCAAACCGAGATGCCTTTTTGAAGTATTTAAGGCCGAGGGTTTCGGGATTCATGGGCTAAGACCCCGTAACAAAGATGCGAAAACCCGAAACCCTCAGTCTGGGTTGCCGTGCCACATCGGCTGGGCGCTTTCCGTTCAAGAAGCCCTGACAAAGCAAACTATAGTGGTACACTTCAAGGCTAGGTTCAAGGGTCTGGGTATTTTCGGGTTCTGGGGCTTTCATTCAAAAGTCGTGGCCGTGGTCATTCCGACCTTACATAATACAGATGTCGCCAGAAACCAGATGCGTTTACAAGGCTCTATAAGTAACCGAAGTAGTAGAACTAAAGGCTATCTCCTCTGGGTTCCTGCTGTTCTGAAGGGTGGCTTTCCACGTGTCCAGTGATCAGCCGAAAGCGGGCCTGGAGGTGGGTTGAGGTCTGGACAATGCTAGTTTCTGCAGATCTTTGCTATGGAGGCCGTTGTTGCGTTTTCTCCTTCCTCGCGGTGGCAACATGAGTGACCAAAAGGTGGTGGCGAAACACCAAGCCTGTTCAGCTGGCCAAAACCGGGTTCTTGCGGTAAAAACCTGCTGTAGGAGCGGTGGCCACACCCTCGTGAAACCCTTGAGCCACCTTGCGAGGCCCGGGGATCCCCTGAGCATTCTCAGTTTATACCCGAATCCCCCTGACAAGAGCCCCGCAAAGCAGGGAACTCCAAGGTCATGACGCCAGAGACGTCAGAGTCCATCCAGTGGTCCTCCCGAAGAATTTTTTGGGGCTAGAGCTGGGGTTTAGAGTTCAGGGTTCTTCAATATGAAGGTCTGAATTATCCTCGTAAAGGTCCATAGTATGCCCCCCAAACCCTGCTCCACTTACTACGAAACCTGCACATGCAGATGCACATGCACATAGCCATAGACATAGACCTAGACATAGACATAGACATGGACATAGACATAGACATGGACATAGACATAGACAGAGCCACGGGCATAACCATAGACATATGTACAACACACCACTGAGTGAGCAAACAAGCATGCATGTGTTTACATCTACATATACACACATACGTATGTACGTGTATATATATATATATATATAGATCGCACGCACCAAAACTAGGAACGATGCCTTTGAAAGTCTTGCAGAACTGCCATGAAATTCTGGCAGCACTCACTACAAAGGGCTGCGACGACGGGCATATTAAAAGTGACCTCGTCTTGAGTTTGCTTCGAGAGGACAGGCTTCGGCTCGTCGTCTTCCTGGCTGCTGCTTCTCTCACGGATGTCGCTGGAAGGGAGCGAGTACAACAGGAGTGAATTTCTCGATGGCATCACTGCCGACAACATCAGAAACTCACCGCGCGAGTGCTGCCCCTGCCGACTTCCGAATAGATTGGCTTTCATCTTACTTGTCGCTTTGAGACATGCCCAAAACACACGAATGATTTACGCAAAAGCTGGCCTGGGCAATCTCGCGCGTTTCCAGCACGTCTCTTGTAGCGGAGGTTCCCCACCCCTCGCCAGCAGAATGCCCGGCTCTCTTGCCCGAGGGAGCTCAAGTGCTTCGGAGCTTACATCATAGCGGACCTCGACATCGTCATCAGGATCCATCACCATGACACTGTGCCTCATGGGGAGAAGTGGAGAGAATTTAGGGCGTGTACCAAACTCAGAACCGAGGGGGACACTCCACATGCTCGTCCAGTGAACCTCAAGCAAAGTGACACGACTACCCAGACTGTGCACGACGCTACAAGACTGCTCAATCGTGCCTAAATCGGTCGCAGTGGCGGAAGCCTCATGAAGCGGGCGCCTACTAAGAGTGCCATGCCTGATGGAGCAGAACACGCAATCGACGCAGTCTCGGATCCCGACGCTTCCACCGTCGAGCCCACCAGACGTACTTACTGCCTGAAGCCGGAAAGCCCAACAGCACTTGAGGGAGCGCCCCTCCCGAAAATCGGCCGTTCTGGACATGACTATGGCGGTGACGACGACAACGATGATGATGATAATGATGACGAAGATGATGATAATGATGAAGATGATGACATGAACATACGCATACGTGTGTACTTGTGTATGACTACATGTATCAAACATACGAATGATTCATGCAAAAGCTGGCCTCGGCAATCTCGAGCTCTTCCAGCACGTCGCTCGCAGCGGAAGTTACCTTGCCCACGCAAACAGAATGACCAGCTCTCAATCGAATCAAAACATAACTCTTGCTCGAGGAAGCTCAAGCGCCTCGTGAATGACCTCGACATCGTCATCCGGATCCATCACCATCACACTGTGCCTCATGGGGAGAAGTGGAGCCAGCGTCGGGCGTGTACCAGACTGAGGGTGCCGGTTCAAATTCTGCTGAGCGGCTTATCCGCAGTCGGGCTTTTCCTTTGAACAACGTCGCAGCTTGACTGTCATCAGGCTGAGGCTCAACGGGCATCTGCATGTTCTGCATTCTGGGCCAAGCCACTCCACATGAAGGCGCTGAAAGTGCAGCGCGGCCTTGAGGACGAAGCAGAGATCGCCTCTGCCTGTCCTGAACATAGAGACACATGCGGTCATGCCAGATCGGCCGTGCATCCTCGTGGGTGTATGCTTTCACTTCCACCACTCGCGCTACTTGAGCCCAACCTTCAAGGCTTAAATCTTCCCGTGGGTCAAACAGTTCACAGCCATGCAGCACTTGTAAGAGCAACGGGAGACACTAGAGTAGGTCGCCAATCCTTTAACCAGCCTAAACCTACACAACAGCCCTACAAGCCGCGCATCCTCAGCATTTTTTAAACACTAGGAAGCATGAACAAGATTCCCTACATCCTTGTGCCGCTCGGTATAGCCGAGTGGCTCAGTGCTACTGCGGCGCCTTGGATCACGACCGACATCAGCTTGGATCTGCATGTTCTACATTCCGGGCCAAGCCACTCCACCTGAAGGCGCCGAAAGTGAAGCGAGGCATTCAAGATGAACTTGAGGTCGCCTCCGGTCCTGAACATATTGTCACATGCGGTCATGCCTTAGCGGCCATGCATGAACTTGATGATGCATAATGGCTGTCCGGGCAGTCATCTCGGCGAAAGCACGGCACCCAGCTTTCGCCCTCCGCCGGCCCATGGCCGCAAAAGGAGCCTCGCTGGCTCCCGAAAAATATGCTCAGAGGTCCTGCTGCTGCGATTCTGGCGTTGACACGTTGAACTTGATCCTACTCTCAATCCATACGCGGGGTTGTGGAGCTGCTGTCCAAGTTGTTTCTCTGCACGGGGACAATGCCTATTGTGAAACAATGAGCGTCACTTCAGGCATTGCTTTCTGATCACGGCCCGGCCACTCATGACTCGTGCATTTTGCCTTGTGATTACGCACATCAGGTGGAAAGATCACATGAACAACAAGCGGCTCTTACTTCAGAAAGTCCACTCACGTCTTTTCGTCGTGCATAGACGGGAGCGGCCAGTCTTGGCACCTGCCAGAACATGGAAACAACAACACAGACAAATACATTGCCTATAGCGGTATGAGAGTTTGCCACTGGCCTTGCTAGTCAGGCCAGCTTTGCGCTCAACCCTGCTCTAATCATCTTCGTCAGGTTAATTGTGGACGGTGCGTGTTGCCCGTGTTCTCTGCAACGGCATCACTGCCAGTAGCACATCATCTACACTAGTCCTGGCGTCGTGTCTTAACCAAACTGTCGTGATTGACAGCATTTTTTGTCAGCAGACGTCTCCCCCTGCTGTCAGTCACACAAAGCCATTGAGCTCAAGATTATGAGGTGCACAGTAGGAGGCAGCAGCCGCAAATGAACTATTAGCAACGCAAATGTCAGTAGCGGAGGTGGCAATCATCGTCGTCGCGATGATCACAGAAGTGCCGCAAAGGTCTAACCGGTTGTGACAGGTGCCACCGTTAATCGTTCGTTCAACCACCGGCACGATGAGGTCCAGCTAGCACTGGCACTGCTGTCACGATTATCAGCAACTTCGTTTTTGCATGCTTAAAGGACCCGAAGATGCTGGAAGTCCCAAAAGATTGGAACCCGGCCTCAGGAGACAGCGCACGCCCATGACGCCCTGATCAACATCATAGCCGGTCTGAAGTTGGAGGAAGTCCGGAATTGCACACTTTCGAGCTACACGTGCAGAGTTGGGGCGATCTGGCTTGGCGTGCGAAGTTACAGTAAGGCTTGAGGATTCAGACGGGGGAGTTTGCCAGAGCTGACAGTTGTGTTGACTATACTTCACTCACATCAGGTTGGGCTTCTTCGCAAGAGGCGGTGTAGCGTCCACATTGATAACATCCTGCCAAACTGGATGAGGCAGCCTTAAGTCGGAGTTCGAGGTGCCAAGGCTGTGAGCTCAGCAACGCATCCGCTGGAATTCAGATCCCATGGCATGTGCAGCCTAAGCTCACCTTTTCCGCAGAAGCTAAGATGGGAAGAGACATGTGCTCCGGAAAATCTGCCAAGAAACGAGTGCTGGGAGCATCCACATCGAGGCACTGCAACTGCAGATGTATGGATGCTAGTACGGGTGTGAGCATTAATAACAGCAGTAGAATAGAATATAGGAACCGGAAATGGCAACAGTACGAACTACGCATGACAACCTACTGCCGAGACAAGTAGGCAATGACTAGCATTAACGACTTAATGAAAGCTATCTTCTAATCAGCAGACACGTGTCATGAACACTACTGATGTTGACAGCGAGAAGGACAGACGCCGTCTCCAGCTTGTGTCCGGCCTGGAAGGCGTTGCTGCTAACGTCGAGATCCACAATTCTGCGCCCGGTGCTCGACTGGAAAGTATCCTGCTACACAAGAAGTTTAGAGTTTGGGTGGCTGAATGGGGATGGATCTAGAGTTAGCTGGATGCTTTGAATATTTAAGCAGGCTCATAAGTCCATCTATGGGTAGGCCGTCCGCAATGCTTCGGAAGACGAAGAGCTCATTGCGGTGCAGCATGACCATGAAGGGCATAAGGTTCAAATCACTTACCGTGATGCAGTGACAGACAATGCTACTGTGTATGCAGAAATATGTGCATACAAACATTATCCTATATGCATATTCAATTAGATGCCTGCTTGTTAACGGTGTTGCATGGTCTTGTGCATCGGCTCGGCACGGAAATAGAATGCAGGCCGCCCTGGAATTCCAGTGCTGAATGCTGAAAGTCTCAACCAAAGCCCTCCGCCCCCTCACCTCCGCCCAGCAATCTCAGGGTCCAATCGAAATAATTAGTCAGCACCCTGCCTCCAAGATAAGGACTAGTCCTGCTGCTGCTGCTGCTGCTGCTGCTGCTGTTACTACTTC